GTGTGTGTGTGTGTGTGTGTGTGTGTGTGTGTGTGTGTGTGTGTGTGTGTTCTCCACCATCCGTCAGAGTAGGACTCGGCCTGTCAGTATATGGGCTCCTCCTCCGCAGCTGCCTTCCTTCATTAAGGGCCATCAGCTGAGCTCAGTGCTCCACTGTCAGAGTCAGACTTCTGTTTTCTCGTTTCTCCTCCTTTTGCACTCTCACGGACTGTCCCTCAAGCTCCCTCACATCCTTCATCCTCATATGATTTCTCACTCTGTCAACTCAGCCCAGTCTTTCCCTTCTTGCTAAATTTCCCCCTGCCCTCGCGCTGCACCATCTCTCCATGCCATACTCCTTTTCTAGCCGACTTGTCATTTAATGTTCAGGTTGTTTTTGTATAACACCCTCCTTAAATCAGCGAATCCCTTGTGTTTCAGTATCAACTTACACAGTTATTTTTCTTGCACAGTAAAAACAGTTTCCATTGCATTTGTGTAACGTTAAAGGCTTGCACGATTTGTTGTACACATGATTGTAGCCCACAGAAAGCAGCAAACAATGTGCTTTCCATGTGTGACATTGAGGGGCAGACATAGAAAATGCTATGACATCATTGCAAACTGAGTATGCAGGCTACTAGCAGGGCAGATAGATAATAAGCAACACTATTTGGCTGGGGCAGTCCTTGAAATAAAAGTGGTTGCAGCAGAAATCATTACGATAACAATACAATTATGGATTTGTATGGTGCATACAGCTTGTTGGAACTAAATATACACAGGTGGATGTCACATTTCGAGTAGCCCTGATGCAGGACGGGTGGAAGCTGTCAATTATGCCTTTCATTATTGTTGCAATATAGCTTCTGGCCACGGGTAACAGCACTGAGCACAGATCTACAGAGCCACACGTCCAATGATAACCATGGCTTATTTGGGATTTTAGCGTTTATATGAGTCGAGGTGAGTTCAATGACATCTAAAAGCCCTCATTGGAGTAGGTTGTGTTTTCGCTATACTGTTCTCTTGAACTGGGAATTCCATCTACCAAGCGCGTGGGTTTGTATTTTCAGCATCAAACCACCTTATAACCTTATAACTGAATAACGGAAGGTGCAAGCCAACAGAAAGTGCAGTACAACCCTCTGATTTATTTTCATAACGGTCACTAAGATATTGTATTGTGTCATTTTTTTTCCAGATTGTATAACAAATGTATAATAGGACTACATAATTGCAAGTTGGGACTTTACGAGGAGTGCTGAAACACAGCTTAGGAAAAACACCTGCCACTGTCCTGCTAATAACAGCTGGGACTGCGAGGATGTTGAGGACCAAACGATACCAGTACAATTACCAAAAACTGTCCTTTGAAAGTAACTTTATGAAATTTTGGAACCCCCCCCCCAAAAAAAAGATACAAACTTGTTGGAGACACTGACAATATCCCTGTTTTCTCAGAGCTCAAAATTAATTTTCCTATGATTGCTGTTTCAAGAGAAGTATTGCTGTATCTGCAGTTTGCAGTCAGTGATGGAACAAATGATAATGTGTTCTTGAATGTTTTTGGCCAGATGGTAAATCAAATAGCCAGCATGTAAGCAGCTTCATACTGCAAATACTCACCAACTGGGATGAACGTTGACATATGAATCTTTTTTAAATTTTGTATTTATAGTAGCCATTCAGCAAATCATAGCAGGAGAAGCACAGGTGTAATTTACAACGAAGGATCATCGTATTGTATGTAATTTTCCTGCTATGATAAAATGTCTGCTGGGAAATAAAGTAGCATTAGCAAACAGTTTTAACATATTTGATCCTCCAGAAAGTGGTCACAAGATGGCACATCAGCATACTCTGATGAATTCATAATCTTTTTCTCTAGAAATGGCAGAGATACATGATCGATCAGGTGGCTTAAATGTTTCTGTAACGTTCTGGTGGGACTGAGTCCTAAGTTGATTTCCCTGTTTCACCTCACTATAACTTACAATGTTATGCCTTCACCTGAGTCTCCATGACTAGAGCCGATAGCATTATTCCATTGATATTGTGTGGAATTGTGCTGCCTCAACATTGGCTTTGTGTTATATCCAGAAACGCATGAAATTTTCTTGGTGGTGGCATCTAGTGGCCATCAGGGGAACTAGCTGTAGGCATTAGATCTGGCTTCTGGTAATGGTGGTTGTTGCGTGGGTAAAACTAGACAGCAGTAACACATTTTTAAAAGTTTGAAATATATGTTCTCCAGTGCTAATGCAATGCTAAAGCAGTGGGGACAACATTTGTGAAGTAATGCATTTTCAGCTTTAAGCTGCAAGTTTATGATTTCTATCGCTGATTAGATTTCTGGCTTTGAGGAAACGTTTTCAATTTAAGAAGAGGAATGTCAAAGTGGCTGGAGTTGAGACAGGCCAATTTAGTTTGAGATTTGGTGTTGCTTTTTCTTTATATAAGTTCATATTTAACTTGATGTACCACATAGTTCAACATAGCTTTTGAAACTGTCAAGTTTAAACAAATATTTTTGCTGTAATTCAGTTATAATTCTATTTCCACTCTATTTTTCAA